AATTACCAATACCTCTGGTTGGAGAACCTCAGAATCAACCTCTTAAGTAGTATGCCATCCCTTCGCAGGATGAGCCACATAACAGTATTGTTGATCCTCCTATCGAGGTAAATACCTTCGAGCTAAAACCTTCGTTGTTGTCTGATGTACAACAAAACCAATTTTCTGGAAGTCCCACGGAGGACCCGAACTTACATTTTTCAGTATTCTTGCAATACGCAGACACAGTGAAAGCAAATGGTGTTAGCCCCAAATCAATAAGACTAGGGAAGATACCCTCGGCAATGTCTGCCCGCGCCATCTCCATCATGAAATGACAACGAGGTAAGACATCCTTAGTATAATCCATCTGAGACTGCTGCTTCTCTAGAATCTTCTGATGAGATGGTCTTGACAGATCTCGTGGAGCAGTCGGCACCATGTACGTATGTAAGACCCTGAAGAATCACCTGAACTGCTGTATGACACGCTCGGGCAGACGAGGAGCAGTGACTGTCGACGAGTAGGTCAACCATCTAGAGTATAACGATATGTTGTCAAATGGTCGCGTCTGACGGTGATCCACGTAGCAGTTGAAATGGATATCCTCAACAACCAAGAGGTCAAGATAGACTCTGAAAGGCTCGACCGTCTGGTTCCCTCTCGGTGGGATAAAAGCACATGCACGGGGCATCTCCTCAATATACTCATCCCAACACGACCAGTCAGCAATGCGCGGAAAGTGATGGAGGATCCAAGCCTGAAACGAAAATAAAAAAGTATTCAAGGATCAAGAATTATCGCAAATATGAAATGAAAAAGATAAAAAAAAAACAATCAAGGATCAGAAATTGTTACCATTAGTAGGGTTGTGCTTCCTGTGGTCTGCCTCTTCGTCCACCGACATCTATCTTTTAGCTTTAAATACAGATAGGCCAAGCAAGCCGCCCCCAGTTGTACTCATGGATCCGTGTGAGATCCAAGAAGTGCCGGAGGTATGCAATGTCAGTATAAGTGGCACTCGTGTCCACAAAAAGCACAGTGCCAACTAAAAATAGAAAATAACACCTTAAAGCCCGACTCTTGTGGATCTCCACCTCATAGGAATCACCATCAACCCGTGCTGTAGCAACGAGCGTCTCGTCAAATCTCTCCTTCAAGAATGAAAACCTAACACGAGCACTCTTAGTCCCATCCACCTCCCTCAGCGCCTTCACTGGATCATCCCCCAGACGCTCCACCATTATATCGACCACCTCGTCTTTGGTCATCCTACCATGACGGAGAAATGTCCCTTTGATTGGTAGATGCAACAAACACGAGACATTATCCAGTGTAATTGACATCTCACCGTGTGAGAGATGAAAGGAAGAGGTCTGAGAGTGCCATTGCTCCACGAATGCTCCCATCATCCCGTGGTTGACCAAAGTGTAACCGGTCAAGCATATGTCACTCAACCCGAAGTGGTGAGAACCGACTGACGCCTCAGGCTGATGCAATGCTAAAATCTTCCGCCCATAGTTCAGAAACTTCTAGGGTTCACGCACCTGCGAATTTCTAGAAATAATCAGTTTAAGCAAGAATCAATGTTAGAAATAATCAATGTCAAAAATTTAAATTAATGTAAAAAATATAGTAACAATGTGACTAATGTTACCTCTCCGTCTCAGATATGTCTGGTAGTGTGGTCTAGGTACAAAGGAAGTAGAGACATATCCGATGGACACCCTCTGAAAGCCTCTGGCTCGATATCAACAACATCACCCTCCGAAGGTGGCACCAATGCATCACAATCAAAAGGTGTGACTTGGTCAATAGGAGGTGGCACTGGATCAACAGGAGGTGACACAGATGCATTCCGCCGCCTGCGGGAGGATGGAGGAAGTGACGCGTCAGCTGATGTATCCTGTGGTCTACTGAAAGAAGATGAAGAAGGTGGAGTGGGATGAGACGTAGATGGAGTGGCCTAGCTGTAGTGGCTTGAGACGTAAATGGAGTGACATGAGGTGAAGGCTGAACCACAAGAGTAGACTGAGCCTTAAGAGTAGATTGTACACCAGCAGTCGATGCCTCTCCCTGACTAGAGGTACCTGCTTCATCGAGACCCGGCTGGCTACACTCTCGTCTAACGGATGCGTGCTAGGCAACCCGTCCATGCCTCAATCGGCCGGCTCTGTCAGCCATTATGCCTGCAAGATATAATATAATTAATCGTGCAATGAGTTTACGAAATAAGAAAAGTTATAAAACAAAAAGAAAAAAAAACAGATTGAGAAAATTCCGGAGATACATCTCTGAAAAAATTCAACATTTCATGTACTCTAGGTGATTCCGGAGATACAACTACGGAAAATTCTGCAGATGTATCTCCAAAATCACCCAGAGTACATGAAACTTTGAATGTTTATGGAGATGTATCTTCATAATATTCTACAACTCAGAGGTCGCGCCAATGGCATCCTCTGGCCCTAAGAGTCACAAATTTGAGGCTCTGATCGTCCATTTGGACCAACAAACAATACATGCAGTTACTCTAAACAATGTTTCATCTAATTTTTAAACATTTTGACACCTAACAATAGATTCTAACTCGTTTACAACAAAACTCGAATATTCATCGAAAACTCGAAAAACTTACCCGAATTATATGATTCAGAAGATGTTGAATGATGCATTGGATGCAGCTTGATGATTGCTTGATCCTCGGACGGAAGAAATCAAATTTCGTGAAGTTTTGAAAATTTGGAAATGAAAGAGATGAAAGTATGGGATGAGAAGAGGCTAGCGCGACAATATGTTCCTAATTGTTCTGGAGATATATTTCTAGAATATTTCAACGTTCAATTGATCTTTGGTGTGTCCGAAGATATATCTCCAGAATATCTTAACATTTAGTTAAAATAAAATGCGTCCGAAAATATATCTCTGAAAACTAAGAACATTATAAAAAATTCACAAGGTGTCTAAAAAGCACGTATGATGCTATAAAAAATTCTCAAGACTAATTCACAAGAATAAAGTGGTTGAGATGGTTAGGCGCTTCGATTTGTGGTACAAAGTTTTGGTTTTAATTTCGGTAAAGACACATTTTAGTTTTTTTTGTTTTGTTAATTTTTTTTGTGTTTTTAAATTTCAAAATATGAAAAAATAAAAAATAAAACTAACATATATTTTGAAAAAATAAGTAAATAAATAAAATTGAAAAAAATCTGTTACGTCAATTATTCTTTTTTTATACAATATTATTCTAATAAACGAGTTTTATAGAATAAAATAAGAACTTTATAAGAGAGGGTATGAATGTTTTTCATATGAATTTTTCAAGCTCATTTATTTGACATGGACAAAATACATATTAATCATCATCATTATTATTATTATTATTATTATTATTATTATTATTATTATTATTATTATTATTATTATTATTATTATTATTATTATTATATCTAAAATAACATCAATCTTAAATAGATTGAAAATAAAAATAAGTTATAATCTCTCTCATATTAATTTCAATTAATATAAGATTATATTTTAGAATTCTTACCTCAAGACTTTATGTATTGTTCTAAATAGTGTGTTGCGTACTTTTGACTGAAAAGGAATTCCTATAACTTTTCTTTTAGTAAATTTTCCATTTCTTTTTGAACAAGTCTTAGTACTTTATTATTTTCTTAAAAAATTGAATGTTATTTTTAATTTTTATTTTTCAATTTTTAATATAACTATAAATTTTTTTTTATCTTCTAGTCAATATTGTATAAATTATTTTAAAATATATATTATCTTATATTATATATTATAATATTATATATATATATATATATATATATATATATATATATATATATATATATATATATATATATATATATATATATATATATATCCAACAAAAGATATATATATATATATATATATATATATATATATATATATATATATATATATATATATATATATATATATATATATATATATATATATATATATATATATATATATCCAACAAAAGATACAATCTTATCACATTATAAATTATTTTCTAGAATATATATATATTTCAGATATCTAAATAGAGGTATATAATTAATTGAATATTCCTATAATCTTTTTTTCACATAATTACAACAATTTTCTTTTCTTATCTTATCACATTACTATGCCTTTTATAACACATAATTTTCACTATTTTCTTATAGATTATTTATTTACTAATATAAAGTTAAATTTATTCATGAACATAATTAGAGAAGACCACTCTCTTATCAAAAGCACCAAGAAAGCCAAAAAAAACCTCTCACCAACCCCACCACCCATCTTTAAATATATATTATTTTTTCATCTCACATTCCCCACACAAACTCTAGAACTATACGCAAACTAACTCTTTTCCTCTTTTGGGTCTTCAATTTTTCACACTCTTTATGCCTTTTCATTTTTGTTTTTTTATTCAATAACTTCTCATATAAGTGAACCCTTTTTTTTTTTTTTATATTATATATTTTTTCAAAAAATCAAACCGATATTTCGTGTGCAACTTCCCATCATACATATATTCATAAAAAAAACAAAAAAAATAACTCTATAAAAGCCAGGGTGGTCGTTTTCTTAGAGTTGAATATTTAATTAATTCTTTATTATTATTATACTTTGCCGAAAAGAATAAAAATTTGATTCCTTTAATTAAATTATTTTTTTATTTAAGATAAAAACACATCATGGATCTGGAAAGTTATATAAAAAGCAGTATTATATTATATTATTCAACAGTTTAAAAAAAAATTAAATTTCTTCCTTTTTCGAACATTAAATTTCACTATACACCTAAAAAGTTTTAGTATATAAGTACATAAGTTTTTATTAATTTCTTTAAAAATCTTTAATTTGTTTTTCTCAACTGAGGAAAAGTTGCAGCAATTGGGTGAGTGTGATCATCAAAATCAAAAAACGAAAACCTTAAATTTTCGTTCAAAAGTACAATAAATGGTTCTTTGAAGCTTGAAACCGCTCATGTTATGGATCTGGAAGGTGGAAGAACTCGTAGAAATTCTTCAAAGGTAAGAAAATGGGTGTTGTTAAAAGCTTTTAAAGTTTCGATTTTTAATTCATGGGTGTGTTATTTTTTTTTTTATTTAATCAACTTTTTGATGTTGTTGTAATGCTGCAATGTTGTTTCTTTATTTTTTCGTTTTTGGGTTTTTGGGTTTTACAGAAAGACTCCTGGAGGACTGTTCTGACACTAGCCTATCAGAGTCTTGGAGTTGTTTATGGAGATTTAAGCATTTCACCTTTATATGTATTTAGAAGCACTTTTGGTGAGGGAATTGGTCACTCTAATACAAATGAAGAGATTTTTGGTGTTTTGTCTTTGGTGTTTTGGTCTGTGACACTGGTTCCTTTAGTTAAATATGTGTTCATAGTGTTGAAAGCTGATGATAATGGTGAAGGAGGTACTTTTGCGCTTTACTCTTTGTTGTGTAGACATGCTAAAGTCAATTCTCTTCCTAATTGTCAATTGGCTGATGAAGAACTATCTGAGTATAAGAAAGATTCTTGTGGTGGCGGTGATGGTGTTTCGACGGATAGAGGTTTTGCGTTCCGGCTTAAGTCGACACTTGAGAAACGCAAGGTTTTGCAGAAGATTTTGCTTATTCTTGCTTTGATTGGTACTTGTATGGTTATTGGTGATGGTGTCCTTACACCTGCTCTTTCAGGTGACATGATTCTGTTGTTTTGTGACGTTTTCCTTTAGGGGTTCGTTAACTTTTAGGGTGAACAGTTATTTTGGTCTTTAAACGAGTGAATATATGCCACAAAGTCTTTGAATGTGTTAGTGTCAAAATCACATCTAAATGCGCTTTTCTTATTTGTAATTTTGAAACATTCAGAGAATAGTGACAACATTTTGTGCATTTTGAGACCAAAATGACTGTTTACTTCTGTTTTTTATTTCTTGTTTTTACTTTTGATTTCAAAATTGACATTTGTCATTGAATTTAATTCCTGTTTGTAAGATTTGTATAGGAAATATTGAACTCACTGTTCTTTGTTTTAGGGTTTGAAATAGGAAATTTTTTTGACCTTCTGTAAGTTACTTAGTAAATTATTTTGAATGAGTGCAGTTTTCTCGGCCATATCTGGATTTGAGCTTTCAATGTCCAAGGAACATCATGCTTGTAAGTTTTAATCCGAATCTGGTTTTTGTTTTTTCATTGCGCCAATAGTAGTTTATCTCTTTGTTGTTTATTATATGCTCTCGTTTTCTCAGTTTGGTAGTGTTGCTTTATATTTTTGTTGGAATGTTTGGGAGAAACTGTGTTAAGGACAAAACATGATGTTGCATTTGTCTCTGCACGTTTAGGGTGTGACTATATTTGTGTCCTTTGAAAATTTAAATCCACATGATCACATGTGATAGAGTCCTATACTCTGAGCTTAATGCATGTTCTGTATGCTTATCATTTTGTTTGTCCTTTATGTCTTTTTTGCTCTTATTTGCAATTCTAATTTTGATACTGCTCTTTTATTTGAATGATTTGGCACATTCCTCACTGACGGTGCTTTTGTAACTTGTTACTTTACAGATGTAGAAGTTCCAGTTGCATGCATCATATTGGTAGGCTTGTTTGCGCTTCAGCATTATGGCACACATAGGGTTGGCTTCTTGTTCGCACCGATAGTTATCATATGGCTATTTTGTATCAGTGCCATTGGACTATATAATATTTTCTTCTGGAACCCTCATATATACCGTGCACTCTGTCCTATTTATGCTTTACGATTTATAAGGAAAACTCAGACGGGAGGGTGGATGGCCCTCGGCGGAGTTTTGCTGTCCATAACAGGTTTGTTTGTTTTGGTTGATGGTTAACTTTGATTTTATGCCGTTGTTCTCACCATTTCTTTTGCACTTATACAGGATCAGAAGCCATGTTTGCTGATCTTGGACACTTCTCACAATTATCAATCCAGGTATGCTATTTTAAACAATCTCACAAGTGTTTATGCTAGTAGATAACGCAAATAAGTGAGTCCAAATAGGCTCATAGTTATAGTTATGTAGCATTTGGAAATGCTTATTTAGTTAACACTTGTGCAGATTGCGTTCACTTCTGTGGTTTATCCATCTTTAATTCTTGCATATATGGGACAAGCTGCTTATTTATCAAGACATCATGAAGTCGAGCATGCGTATCACTTTGGGTTTTATGTATCTGTTCCAGGTAGGCCTTGTGTATATCATTTATTTTCAGGGACGATATTTATAGACGGTGAAAAAGTTCTTGGCTAATTGACAATTTTGTTTTTGCGCTTTTGCTTTCCAGAGAACTTGAGATGGCCTGTTCTTGTGATAGCCGTATTTGCTGCGGTTGTGGGAAGCCAAGCCATCATAACCGGAACATTCTCAATTATCAAGCAATGTTCTGCATTAAATTGCTTCCCAAGAGTTAAAGTGGTTCACACATCATCCAAAATTCACGGTCAAATATATATCCCTGAGATCAATTGGTTATTGATGCTCCTGACCTTGGCTGTTACTATCGGTTTCAGAAACACACAGCATCTCGGTCATGCCTCAGGTATGACTGATTGCAAATTACATACGCATACATTAATTTCTTAGCAATATGATAAGGAACTAGCATAATCAAGAACACACGTTTTTCTATAAGATGCCAGTATAGGCTTAGTGTCCCTATCTGTATCTGTGTCAGTGATTCATAGATAATAAGCATGTCTTGATATTTTTGAGTTGTGATTTCATAGCTGACATTATGCTCTTTGCCTAACAGGTTTAGCAGTTATCACAGTGATGTTGGTCACCACCTGTTTGATGTCACTGGTTATTGTACTATGCTGGCACCAGAATGTTCTCTTCGCGCTCACATTTGTTCTCTTTTTCGGCACCATTGAGTCACTCTTCTTCTCGGCTTCTCTTACGAAATTCCTACAAGGAGCATGGGTGCCGATTGCACTGGCATTTGTATTTATGACAGTCATGTACGTTTGGCACTTCGGCACACTCAAAAAGTACGAATTCGATGTTCAAAACAAGGTTTCCATCAACTGGCTACTCGGCATAGGTCCAAGCATAGGCATCGTACGAGTGCGCGGCGTCGGCCTCATACATACAGACCTAGTATCCGGTATTCCTGTTATCTTCTCTCACTTTGTGACCAACCTGCCAGCCTTCCATCAAATCCTAGTCTTTCTCTGCATCAAACATGTGCCGGTTCCGCACGTAAGACCCGAGGAAAGGTTTCTAGTCGGGCGCGTAGGTCCAAAAAACTTCAGACTCTATCGATGCATAGTACGGTACGGTTACCGCGATGTCCACAAAGACGATGTTGAGTTTGAGAACGATCTTTTATGCAGCATAGCCGAGTTCATACGCACCGGAAGCACTGAAATATCTTCAAACGACGAGATAGAAACAATTGAAAAAATGACAGTTGTTGGAACATATTCTTCACAAACCATTTCAAGAAGAGGCGAAAAGGGAGATAATAATGCAGATAACTTGGACTCGGAAGAGACATCGTCGGAGCTTAAAGAGATAAAATCCCCGCAGGTGATTCAACAGAAGAAACAGGTGAGGTTTTTGGTACCCGAGAGTCCAAAGATCGACACAGAAGCAAATGAAGAGTTAGAGGAAGTAATGGAAGCTAGAGAAGCTGGAATAGCTTACATTATAGGACATTCATACATGAAGGCTAAACCAGGGTCTAGTACTATAAAGAAAATAGCTATTAATTTTGTGTATGAATTTCTAAGGAGGAATAGTAGAGCACCCTCCTTTGTACTTGGTGTACCTCATGCATCATCTTTAGAAGTTGGGATGATGTACCAAGTTTAATTTTTGGTTTGACAGAAGATAGAGTTATTGTCATCATGTACATATTTTTCTTGTTATATAGTTTTGTCAAAAGATCACACACCACTTATCAAGCGGTGATAGATAAATAGTGTACAAATTTTGATCTGTTTTGTTGTCTCATTTATTCTGTCATATCATCTTTTTCTTTCTCTTTTGCTATTCATGGTGTCAAAGATGTTTCTTTTTTTTTTTATTATTAAAGGAAGGAAAGATGAAAGAAGGTTTGGAGAACATGCTTTTGGATGTTGATACACAACTGTTTTTGGGCGTGTCCTAGCCCAACATGTGTTTAAACTTTAGCACAATACTTGTGCAGCACGTGTTGTTGAATTAAAAAACATGTTTTTTAATTTTTTTAAATTTAGTCACTCAATTAAAAAAATACAGTACCAATTAGTTGTAGTCTGTCTATTAAAATACTTCTTTATATTCGTATAATAGTTACTAATACCAACCGGTGTTATAATAAGTGTCTTATTTGATTTATATGGTATCTTCTTTCATGCATGGAGAAAGAGTATTTTTAATTTTGTCAACAACATTCGAAAGTTTCATCAAGATGGATCCCAGTACTGAAACCATGCAGAGATTTGACGTGGCACAAGTTTTGGTCTGAACACTGTTAATGGAGTTTAATAACAAGTAAAAAAATATTAAAAATAATGAATGTTTCAATATTAGAATTATAAAAGAATTCTATCTAGAAGAAGGGGATCACGAGAGTTGGGAAAATACAGAAATAAAAGAAGAGTGTGATTCATCTAACTTAATTGAATTGTTCATTCCATCATCAACGTCATCTATGGAAGATGAAGAGGCAAGGAAGAAGATAAAATAAAATTATAGGAAATTATTACAAGGGAAAAAATCAGCTACAATACAAAAAACGTAAGCATGTGGTAGAGATGCTGAAAGATAAAGTAATTAGTTCAAGGCTTGAGAAAAAATAAATTAAAAATTCCCAAATGAAAAAGGGATTGAATTGAATGCGGAAGATGGGAAGGGAGGAAACACATAAAAAAGAAAAGGTAGATCAGGTCAAAGTCAAATAAACATTAACAATTCAAGTGAAAATTTGGCTAAAATCCTAAAAAAACCCAAGTGAATATGGGCTCAATTTTAAAAAAAAGTGCCCTTGTTAAACTAAAAAACATTAGCATTAAGGGAGAAGTAGAGGGTCAAAATAGAAAAAAGAGTATGTCCGAAGAGAGAGAAACAACTGTGACAGAAAAAGAGAAATATATTTTGCCAATAGTGATTCAAAATATTAGTACTGAAATTGGAGAAAAAATTGCAGTGTTATATTTGTGAGTGTTATAAACCATGACACCCTCGCCCTAGAGCGATTGTCGTCCTTTAGGTTACCTAAATTTTAGACTCAAAAGACCTTTATATATACATCTCTCCCATGGAGAGAAGGGACAGATCTTATGCCATAAAAATCACACTCCATATACGCTTACACCTATGCATACCACTCAATAACAAAGCCTCTCACCTCACGTGAGCAGGATCTCTAAACCACGATAAAACACCACCACGCAGGACTTGTCGCCGCCATGGGTAAGCTCTAACCACCACACAAGACTACTTGCTACCATGGAAATCTCTAACCATCATACAACGTAATATACCTGATATGGCCTCTAAGTCAGCACACATACACTTTTTAACCCGTACATTGGCTCCCACCGTGGGCCCCTAGTAAAACTAATTTGGGCCACGCCTCCTTCGCACCATCACCTTATTCGTTGTTACCTTTCACTTATACACCTAAAAGCTTTAAGCCATGGTTAATAGGAGAGCTCCATTCCATACGCCAGAAGGTACAAGCGGTAGAAGTGATGCTGACGCCCTACAGGGATGCATTCCACCATAACCAAACACTAGAGGACGACGTCCACAACATCAGACAACGCCAACAAGAGTCCAACCCCCAAAGTATATGGAATTGTTGGACCCCCAACCACTTTCAGACACGATATTGTGTGTGCTTGTCCCCAAAGACTTCAAACCTCTCTTCTTGGTCAAGTTTGATGGACGCAGTGATCCCTACGAGCACATCCCTCAACCAATACATAGATGGCCATCATAGGAGCACCTGACTCCCTAAAATGCAAACTTCTATCTTGAACTTTAAGGGGCACAATCCTTAGATGGTATATGGGTGTTAGCTCCCAAATTCGACATTGCCTTGGGTTGCTAAACTTTAAGACATAATTAATGTCTAAGTAAAATGAAGCAAAGAGGTTTCGACAGCCTCTAAGGAATTTTCTAAAAGCTGAACGGTTGAAATAATTTAGAAAAATTAAGAAACCGAAAGTTATGTGCATTTCGACCGTGTCAGAGGTCATTCGACCGAAATTCCGCAAATGGCATTGCTACGTCATTTTGAAATTCAAAAATTGGAGGGAGGAGTTTGGTTCATAAGACACGTGGCGAGTTCTAGAGCAGGAAGTTACATGCAAATGACACTTGTTAGATCGAGGAGATACTAGGAAGTTATTAGCAGTTACTTATTAGCATTATAAATAGGGATTTGTTAGGCAGATTTCTGTGTGTTTTACCATTTGTACAAAGTAACTCCAATCAAATTTACTCAAAGTACCCGAGTGCGAGAAAAGAGTATTTTCACGGAGAATGTACGTTATGTAAAATCACCAACTTTTCAATAAAGTCTTTTACAATTTCAGCAACATTTACATTTCCTCTATCGAACCACTTGTGCAAGTGTTACGTTTTGTCTTTACCTTTCCTGCATCCTTTACTCCAAATCCTTCTTCCCTTTAAACTTTTTACCTTTTTCGATCAACCTTTTACAAATCTTTTACAGCGTTTCTTTAAGTTTATGCACTTTAAAATAACCAGTCAAAGTCTTTTTCATTACCAGCACATTTACCATTTCGTTATCACAAGTACTTTAAATTTAATTCTAAACGTAGAATACTTTAGCACACGTCCTAGGATCAATCTGATCGATCCTGTGAGTCACCAAAGTCAAATTTGGAAGATCAGCGGTTGTTTTCCGATTTTCAAGGGAAACAAAATGGCACACTTGGTGGGACGGTGCTAAATATCCCCGCAATTTGGAATTAAAAGATTCTCGTTCACAAGTCTTAATAATCTTCGTAGAAAGTACATTATATGTTACTAAGAAGTGGTAGAATTACCGCTGCTAACGAAGAAAGACGAACAATCCTTAGGAATATGGCGACGGAAACGAACCAGTCAAACAATCCTAACCCACAAGTCCAAGGTTCTGGCGAAAGGACCAGTAACAACATGGTCCCATCGCCTATACCATCGACAGGAGAGCAAGTAGCGCCTCCCATAAGGTCAGAACAAATCGTCGCCCCAGTAGGATCTGGGAAAACGATAGTTAGGCCTTACACACAACCCATATTGAAGTATATTGGGCCACCAGTGTCGAATCCCCAAACTCCAATAGCAGGACCATCAGTGTCAAGGCAGTTTGCCCCTCTTGGTCTTTCGCAGTTGCCAAGGAATCCCCCGTATGGGATGTCAACGACTGTGATGCAGGGGCTGCAAAATGCGCCCCCAATATTTTCTGAAAACACAATGGCGTCACCTTTGCAAGGATCAGGACCTGGTTCAAACATTGGTCGAAACCCTCAGAGTTTAAGTCTAGGATACTCGACTCAAGGTCCCAATCTAACCAATACGTCTGTTGCTTGTTTGAGGCAGCAGATGGATGAGAGTAACTTACAGATGGTTCAAACCCTCTCCCAGACTATGGGTGAGATCTTTCAGCCATTAATTCGAGACACAACTCACGCTAACCCAACTGGCGACACAGTTAACACATTTGACTGAGTTTATAAGGGTACCTCCGTTAGAAAGAAACCAAGCCCCTATGGAGAATACTCCACAACAAATTCCAAGAGTGGCGCCAGAAGCCAATTTAGAGAACCAAGGAGGAATGGACCCTTATGTTGTCGAAACTCCCAGAGTCCAGGTCGAGAGAAACCCATAAATAGTTATGGTGAATCGAAACTAGGATGCAGACAATGTGGTCCAGCAAGTAAGACGCAACAACCTCGCGGTCGAAAACAACTTGGCTACGATGGTAGAAAGAATCATGACTCGAAATGGCCTAAACACTGGGTTTACTAGGCCAAATTATACTTCACCAATAGTCGACTACATCCTTCGAGCGGAATTACCCCCTAAGACTAAGGTGCCTAAGTTCACTAAGTTTTCAGGGGACACGACGGAGTCCACTGTCGAACACGTAGCACACTACATAATTGAGGCTGGGGAGATAGCCAATGACGAAAGCCTTAGGATAAAATACTTCCCAAGTTCTCTTACAAAGAACGCCTTCACGTGGTTTACCACTTTACCACCAAGTACAATATGTAACTAGACGCAGTTAGAACGACTCTTCCATGAACAGTTTTACATGGGCCAGACGAAGATTAGTTTGAAAGAGTTGGCCAGTGTAAAGCGTAAGTTTTCAGAACCAATTGAAGAATACCTTAATAGGTTTCGACTACTTAAGGCAAGGTGTTTTACATAGGTGCCTGAACATGAGTTGGTCGAAATGGCAGCAGGAGGTTTAGATTACTCTATTAGGAAGAAATTAGATACGTAGTATCTGAGAGATATGGCCCAATTGTCCGACAGAGTTCGACAGCTAGAAAGGCTGAAAGACGAAAAGTGAAGATTTAACAAAGGCAAGAAAGTAGCTTTTGTCGAACTCAACGAAAGTAGCGAAGGGGCTTGCGAAGAGTCCCCCTACTTCGAGGAGAACGAAGTCGATCTTGCTGAATTAAAACAGGGTCCCCCATATTCCTGTCGAGTACTGACCCCTCCTCAAGGAAAGGGCTTTGTCGAATCAGAAAAGAACGACAGGTTCCCTAAGAAAACTTACACCTTTGACATCACGAAATGTGATGAAATCTTCGATTTGCTAGTAAAAGATGGGCAGATGATAGTACCGCCTGGTGCTAAAACAC